TTTATTTTATTAATAAATGTTTAATAAATTCTAACAAACTTTTTAAATGTGTATGTAAAAAATCTACTTGTACTTCGTTTTTATATGTCAATAATAAATATAATAATTATACGAAGGGGTTAATAAAAGTTCTCTTAACTGGCAACACAGAATAAATTTTTGACGAATTAAAAAATGGGGATTTGGTATAGTATCGCAATATTTTATTTAAAATAAAGTAGTGGATATAGAAATATTAAAACGCTAAATATACCCAAGACACGAATAAACTGCCGTAGCACAGTAGCTAGCAAGGTTGAAAATGAAGAGCAAATCCATTTTTTAAATACTACGCCCGATTTAGTAGTTGGGTACTGTATTCCATACAATTTAACTGAGAGTCGTTAACTACTATTCTGTTATAGACAGATTACAGAAATCTACTCGATTTACGTGCTTTTATAGCACGTAAAGAGAATACTCCATCGCTTGTGACCGTCAAAAAATGGTTTTGAAGATTTTTGGGCGACGTTCGTGAGAAGGAATCTTACGTATTTGATCTAATTCGAAACAGGTGTAAGCCAGGTCTATCTATGATTTTAATAAATATTTTAGTACGAAAGGAATTAATATTTCTTTTGAAAAAATAAGTCTTATGTTCGTGTCCGTTATTGACCCAGGAATATATTGTTGAGACTGCGCTTGAGAGCTGTGGTTATATCGTGAATATAAAATATTTATTTTGGATACATGAAGAAACCACCACGATAGGTCCATCGCATTTAAACTGAAACTCAAAAAGAGACGTGTGTATTTTAGTTTAATATTTTTTCAAGAATTTAAAAATAAACGAACCTTTATTAAAAATGTAATAAAGCTTAGTTCTACAAGTACAACCCAGAAAGCAATAGTCGATAGTATGGAAAAGGTGATATCCATCCTTCATTAAAGCTATCCATCCATTGAAGCTACGCAATAAAAGTCAGCAACAAAAGTAGTAAAGTCAATATATTTCATCAGATAAAAGTTAGCTGTTAAAGATTATAATGACGGTTATTGCTGTCTAGTTTTCTGAGGTATAGGGGTCAACTGCTTTACACAACCACAAGTTTCTAAACATTTGTTGCCAAATTAGGAAAAAAGGAACAATATTAATATGTTCTTTATTGTTATAATGTGCTCACTTAGATTTCTGAGAAAACAAGCAACTTTATTACGGTCTCAAGGAATGAAGAAATTCATATTGCAAGATATTTCCCGAACTTTATGCCGTGTGATTTTTGGTTGTTTTTTGGACAATTGTGAGGTGTTGAGTGCTTTAATCTCAAAGTTGCGAACAGTTCAATTTTCAGAACTGTTCTAGAAAATGAATCTACCGACTTCAAAATATATAAAAATTATTGGAAACGAAAAATGTTACAGATTAAAGTCATAAAAATAAAATTATTTTTGTAAATTTTTTTTATATTCAACTAAATAGACTTTCGTTAATCTTCTTGTAATATATCCCACGCACTACATGCCAAACCATTCCACCAATTCATGATACAAACGTATTACTCTCTTTTAATCCAATTAATTTAATGAAGCTGAACACAATAGATTTCCCCGCAATCCACAACTTCATGAGTAGAATAACTACTTAAAAATGTTTGGTATAAAAAGGTTCCAAATAGTAAGCAAGGAAATTAAACTATAAATTAATAACTGTTGAATTTTCTCATGCACTAATAACAATTTTAATTATGCCAAAATTAACTAATGGCATTCCATGTTGTCGGCTGAGTATCGCAGCACGTCAATTTTCTTTATTTGCAATTTTCACGCCATCCATTCCAGTCCTCCCATTGTGAGCACCATCCGTTGTCAAGCGCTTCTCTTATTATTTCGAGCAGATGGTAGTTTTCAGTGTCAGCAACATCAACATAGTAGCGACATCAACCGCTACACCAGAAGCGGTGCCAGCACCAGTGGCAGCAATTGCTTCCTCTGCTGCAAATTCAACGAATTTCCGATGAGTATGAATGATGCTTCCGCATTGAAATTAAAAAATTTGCGTTGAAATATGCGAAAAAAAGAAATACAAAAAAGAAAAAGAAAACAAAACAACTACTATAAATATATTACATTTTCACAAATTCATAAAAATATCTCAAAAATAAATCTACAAAAAAAAATGTTCGAAAGTGTGTAAATTGCAGATACTCGGTCTTCTTGCTTTTGTTGCTCTTATCTGTAGTGTTGAGTGCTATGGTAACGCTTCGATGATGCTGCGCAACTTCCTTCCTTCATTCGGCCTGATGTCATGGAAGAACGGTGGAATGGATGAATGGTTTGTTGTTGCCTGCTTATTTGTTTGTTTTTCCGCTGTGCCATTAAATTAATTAATCTTTCCATGTTGGCTTTATTCTTTCATTTTGTTTTAATTACTTGCCACGGTTTTAAGTACTTTAAGTTTACATTAATTAAAATGTTAAATTTTCATGAAAGACAAAACCAATATCCAGGACAGTTTGACAATTTGATGTTATCCTGATGGATTTCTTTCAATTTGTTGCACAATTTATATAAAAGAACTACAAAATGTTATTAAATTTTAATTAAACTTTTTTATTTTATCTTAATTTGATTAATTTTTAAAAATTAAGCACAGCTAATAGTCACTATAAATGATCAGCTCATTAGTGTTATTTTTTAAACCAATGCGTTTCGCACGACTTGACTATATCTATTAAGGCTAGGCGACGTTGTTCTACTAAGGGATCTAATATACAAAATCTTGGTGTTGCTGAAGTGCGTTTTCTACTGTGTGGTTGGAAGAGAATTTTCTGATGTTGTAACCTCTTGCAAGCGTTGCTATCATTCACGATGTTAAGTCATTCACGATGTGACCTCTTGCAAGATAGTTCACCTAGTTTTTAGTTTATTAAGACATGGAGGCAATTGCCAACACATACAGAAACGTCGATTTATCGAAGATCTTTTTTGAATATTTTCAATGTCCAAGATTTCTGCGCTGTAAAGAAAACATAGTAGAAGGAATGAGGATAGTGGTATTTTCTTGCATCTCAATTTTCTATTGAACTTATAGTAGTGGCAATTCTCCGTTTGATGTCTAGGGGTTGACCTTGTTGTTATTAATGAAGATGGTAAGGAAATATAAGTAATTTTTCAAAGCTCCAAAAGTATAATTGTAATAATCATTTGACTGTCAGAGCAAAGTCGATTTCTGCCAACCTTCTTTCGCTGTCCAACCTATTTTTGAGAGTTTCCCTTTTCGATATCGACAAAATCAGTAGTGCTATAATCAATTATATTGTTATCGTTACAGTATTCAATGTAGACTATTGTGCTATTACAATGTATACCTGTCCTATAAACTATTACATTTTTCACAAAATCAAAGAGGTTAATAGGTAAGGAGCTGTCTTATCTGAAATCTCCAATATTATCAAAAATTTCAGAGAGTTAGGGATAGCTATAGATATTTCTCAACTTCATCCACTAGAGATTTATAAGTTTTGCAGGGATATCGAGTTTATTATAGTGTAACTGCATATGTCAGATAAATTCCGAAAGACTCGTGTCGAGGATATGTGGATATTTTCTAAGATTTATAGCATTATAAATACCAAGTAAATGGTCGAATGACAAATTTTGTAATCACATAAATAACGTCTGTTTAGTCGTCTGTCATAATGCTTCTATCTTTGATACAATATGCTGCATATATGCAGCGGATATTGACATTAGTATTAGTAGTTAGAGCAGGTCTTCGGGTATTCTGTCTTAAAAACTGAACAGACAGTGCTGAAATTGCTATCGTTGGACATATTGTCAGTTGTCAGTGAATGAGTTGATCAATTCTCGCTATCAGCACATCACCGTTGGCATCAAACAATTTCTCAGTTAGGTTATATCGGTTTATTGTTTTGCTATTCTAAACTCGTTGGAATAACTAATACTACGATCTTCATATAGCTAGCAATGGTATTAAACCAAAATCTTTGTCTATTTAAAACTTAATGCTCGCATCTATAGAGTTTGAACTGGTGTTATCGTCAGAAGACAGTTTGGAAATGTATTTATGCCATACTCTCACCCGAAGTATGTTTAATCACACTGTCATATTTGTCGGAAACTTCAGTCTTGAAGCCTGAAATAGAGTTTATTTAACTCTACTTAACTGAACTCTCAACTTAAAAAAAATTGAGGTTATTTCTTCCTCATTTCTTGATATTGTTCAGGAAAGACTTGCAGTCAATTCTCAAAATTTTAATCCTTGCTACTATTTCATAGTAACAAACCCTAAAAAAGGAATAGAAGAAAACAGGTCAACCATTAGAGAGTATGTAACTGCATCTTTTTTTTAAAGGGTTCGAAACGACTTGAAAAAGTTTAATAATTGTTGGATAGAATGTATCCAAAATGTGTTGGCTTCTCTATCTGCAATATCACAATGAACTGTTAGTAATTCACAGCATTACTTGTTTACCTACGGGTGTGGTTTATGTAAGTTCCGTAATATGACTATATTATTATATATATATTAAAATATATTTACTTTATAAATATTTGGTTCTGTTTAATTATTGAGTTAAGAATTTAATTAGAGTTTTTATTATTATTATTATTATTTATTATTATTTATTATTTTTATTTATTATTTTTATTTATTATTATTATTTGTTATTATTATTTATTATTATTATTTATTATTATTATTTATTATTATTATTTATTACTATTACTTATTATTATTATTTATAATTACTATTTATTATTATTATTATTTATTAATGAAAGAAACTAAATTCTTAATATAAACTGTTGTGATAATTATAATAAAAATGGTAATAATAGTAATAAAAAACGATAAATTTTAAATATCATTTTATAAGCTAAATATTCAGTTGCCTTTAAATAAATATTTGTATTCTGTTCATGTCTTAAATAAATATATAATACTTCTCATTTGCTAAAAACGTTTGATATATATAGGAATTTTTATTTTTTTGCAGAAATTTAACACCGAAGAAAATATCTACAGGAATTTTATGCTTAAACAAAAAGAAAAGAACAAATTTTAATTTTATGTGCTATTAAAACTCTAGTTCTTATCCCTAATCCTCACACAAATACTTGAAAAATGCCAAGAAATGGTTGCGATTCCAGTACAAATGATAGCGGCGCTTGTGGAGGCGGTAATGATGGTTGCATTTATTCCGATGAAGAATTAATGGAAACGGGAGTTGTATTCAGAGTCAAAGTAAGTTTGCAAATATTCACGTTGCATTGTAATTTTATTTTATATCCTTGTTTATTTTCTTCAATAATATATACTGGGGTTCAATGCACGGGTCTGAAAGTATTACACATTCTCCCACTTGTTCTTCTGCATGCCGCAAATACTTTGTGTAAAAGTATGTGCGCTTGTTCTTTTGTGGTTTCAGGCAATTTTTTCCCATTGCTTTAGTATGAATAGGTATTTTACTTTATTTTATTTTAATTTTTTTTTTTTTTGTAACTGAGTAGCTACTTCCGTTCTGCCAACAATTCTTTTCAATGTCGATGCCACATCAAAATAAACACTGAACTTTGTTAACCCATTAGGCTTTTAAGCCTTTCTGTATCGTCTTTTCATTTTATTTCTGAAGTGATACTTAACATTTTTAAATCTTTGCTTTTTTTCGTCTTTGCAGTATACCGGTTGTATTGAGGTGAAGACCTCAATGTCGTCCCTTGATTTCAGTACGAGAACACAAGTTGCAAGGTTAGTATGAAGAGAAGATAAATTCCTCATTGAATTGTATTGTATTACTTACCATATAAATTGAATCATTTGCTTAGAAATAAGTAATTTACTTGGGTAGATAATTTTAATTAAGGGGTTTCATTACATGAAAAAGGAAGAAAAATAATTTTTTTTTATAAATAATCACATCATCATAAATTTTTCTTTCTGTCATGTAGAGAATGCATAAATCGTGTCTGTGAAACTGCAGGTCTGAAAGTAGCAAGCAAACGACGTGTTGACAAGAAAATTCTGGAGTACATATCTGATAAACCATGCATGGAAAATGCTGGTAGAAATGTTTTGATGAGTGTGTCGAGTCGTTCAATAGAAATAATTAACGTGGAAAATGGGGAGATAATAGCTGGTCACAATATGCCACGCATATCCTTTGCGTCAGGTGGAGATGCCGTAAGTACAAGTTAATGTCATATCAACAAATATTTAAACTGCTATTAGGATCCTTTATTCAACATGATTACTAAATATTCATTTTAATTTACAGAATACTCTTGATTTCCTTGCTTACATCGCAAAGAATGAAGATGAATGGCGTGCTTGCTATGTGATAGAATGTTACCCTGGACAGAGTGAAGATCTAATAGTTACCATTGGCAAATCCTTTATGCTCCGTTTCAATGCACTAAGCCGGAAAACGTTAGTTCATTTATTTGTTATTAATTATTATTATTAGTAATATAATCTGTTAATCTATTTTATATTTATAGTCATCAACCTCCAGAAAATTACAACACCGGTAAAGAAAATGATAAAGATTATTATAATGATTTGCCCAATAAGCTACCACCTGACTTGTTAACTGAAGATGATTTAACGAAGCAGCAAATGCAAGTACAACAACAACAACAGAAACAACAATTTAAAGTTGGACAATTAAATTTGAAGAAGCCACGAGATCGTCTTAGCAGTAATTTAATTGATTTAAACAGTCCTCCACCTGATCAAACAAGCAGTAAAGTTAATTTGAATAGTTTTGATCCAATGAAAAGCAACTCCAATACACCAAATGCAGTACAGGCACCAGTTCGTGATGTTTTTGATATACGTAAGTTCTTTCTAAATTTAAAGAGAGCATATGTGATTAAAATAGAAAAAAGTATTTGTTACTAATTGAAATAATAATTAAGTAATTGAAGTAACAATATTAAGTATTTACAGTAACAATTAAGTAATTGAAGTAATGAAGTAATTAGTTAATTAGTATTCTTCCACCAAATGACGAACTGTTAAGGTAAACATTTAATTAACATTTACATTTAAAAACCTAATTAGTTTTTTGGGTTTATATTAAACTTATATAAAATCAGGGATCTCTATTTAATATCTATGCAAGAGCAGTGTTAAGTTTTGTTTTTCCCCAATTAATGTCATAGCATGGACTGCATACAAATCCGTCCATTTGTAATGTGTGTTCTAACCGCAAAACATTTTTATACCCTATATACAATAATTTGCTTTCAATTGATTGCCACCTTTATGATAAAACTGTAGATAAGTATAGGTATATAGAATATAGCCATGCTGCATCATGCACTCCACATCACTCCACAGCATATTCTTTTTGTTGTTGTAACTGGCTTGGACCTGCGAGCAGATAACATGGGTGAGGTAGTGGATGGGTAGTAGTTGGTGAAGATAGAGGGGGTATGAGGATAAGGGGTGGAATGAGTGGGTAGCATTTAAATGAACATTAACCTAAATCCAGACGGAGAAACCTTCTAGGGGTTGGGTGCAAAGGTCAATTGGATGGAGGTTTGTGTGCGTTGAAGGATAGGTGTACAGATGGACATCATTGTATTAGCATTTCCAGGGGTAAACCATTATTTTGCACGATAGAAGATAGGATAAATATTTTAAACAATTAGTGGTGAATTTTATATTTACGGAGCCAAATTAAACATTTTTTCTCAATCACATTCAAACCTTAATTACAAATATTTATTATATTTATTTATTACATTTATTTATTATATTTATATATTACATTATTTTATTATATTTGTTTCGCCTATTATTGTTTAAGATATGAATTCATAAGATATCATTGATCACAAACTGTTTTTTTCATACAAAATATCCTGAACGAAAGTTATATAGATTAAACCACAGCCTCTGCTATAGTAGCTGGCGAGTGTCATTGTAGGGTTTATAATTTTAGCTATGGTTTTCAGTTGCTATTGCCAAGAACTCTTATGTCTTCGTCGATACAACTAATAAGACATGTTTTTGATCGTTCCTTGTGTCTGGTATTCGCTAGGTCGAGTCCAATCTATACTCAAAATGAATGTTAAAATGTTTTCATTTTGAAATCTAATGTCTGCCATATTTAACAATATATATTTCACTTTTTTCATTATATATTACACGAATGAAAAAATAAATATGTATTCATTATATATATTTTATATATCTTTCGTTTAAGATAATTCCCTTAAAATTTTAATATAAGTCATAATTAATTTTCAGTAGATACATATATACATAATTATACATATATAGTCATCATTTTTTTTTTATAACGAAATAATAAATTTAATTAATGTAATTAATAAATATACTTTAATTAAATTTGTTTAATATTAATACATTGCATTAATTACAGAACCTTATTCATTATGT